CCTGTTGTGGGGGCCTTTCTAAAGAATTCCCACAGGTGTCTTCTGGTCCTTGTTTAATTAATTTAGGTGAAGTGCGGATGTGGGAGGATAAAGCTTTACATTTCTCGCTGTTCTTTTCGTTCTAATGGGTTTGAATAATAATCAGTGGAGATCAGCCAGTCTGTTGATTCTCTTTTTTTTTTTTTTTCTGTGCGCAAGCTCACCTTAAACACTTTTAAATACTAAAAAGAGTTGACATAGTGTAATCTCCCTTCATGTAAATACCGCTTAATTCTTAAAATACAATGATAATGTTATATGTATATAATTGTATGTAAGGGGTCAACCAAGGCTTTGGAATGAAGTTGGGCACCAAAAGTCATTACTACATAAGCGACATTTATCATAGTAAGAACAATCTTATTTTGCTTCCTAGTTTCCGTTAGAAGATTCGAATTCAGACTTGCAGAAAACCCCTGATAGTGACTCTGACAGCGGACAGGGCAGCTGTGAGACAGCCTCTCCAGGTCGCTTCAGCAAGGGGATAGCGTCTCTTGATGATAGAGGTCTGTAATACTTCCATGAATCACGATGTGGTTGTTGCCTTCAAGGGTGCATTTTTTTGTTTTATAAATACTTTTTTAGGAAGCTGTCATTGCTTGACCTGTATGAACCCAAACTGCCTTTTTTTGTTGCTCAGAATGTGGGCAGACATGTAAATCTCTGAAAAGCGTTTTTTGAGGTACAGAAAGGGAAATAGTAAATGGGATGTAAGTGTCTTAATTGCTTATTTCCTTTCTTTTTATGATTTGGTTAACCTATGTACTTGTTTAGTTACTGTGGGTTTTATTACTGTTTCAAGGCAATCACTAATCTATTGGTGAAGCATTTTCAGTTTTGCCTTTTTTTTTTGAAGGTTAAAAACCTATAACATCAATTTGGGTCAATTATGTGCTGCACTACAGGGAGAACTGGATTTTGAAAACTTGAGTTCAAGCCGATTTGTTATAGATGTTGATATCTGTGAAATGTAACAGATATGTAACTTTATGTTTCACTGATTGATTGTTAATTAAGTTGCAGAATTTTCCTCTCCGTCACATGCATAATTTCTTTTCTTTTAATATACTTTCTCAGATTCAGAAGAAGAGATTTTTGTACGTAAAAAAGCAAAAGCAAAAAGCAAGAAGGTGCTTCAGGACAGCGAGAGCGAAGATGGAGAGGATGGTGGCTCTTATGTGCAGAACAATACTCCGGGTGGAGACAAGGAAAATGGAGAGGAAAAAGAGAATGTTACTGCCCAGAGGAACAGGAAATCTCATCGGATTCGCCAGGGTCTGCTAGACAGTGATGACAGTGACACTGCTGACCAATTGCAGATTGAAAACCTTGAAACAAGCAAAAAGTCTGGCTTGCCTGAGAGTGAGTTGGAAGAGGAGAGACCCCTAAAATCTGGGAAGAAGTACAGAGAACATAAACATGATTTTGAAGAAGAGACAGCAAAAAAAGCTGTAGGAAAATCAAGAAGAAGAAAGGAGAAGGAGAGAAGAATTGAGTCCATTAAACAGCTGAAAAAAGAAAAGAAGCCTAGAGCGGAGGTATGTATTTTGGCAGAAAATCTCAGACATTTTCTCAACTAAGTTAAATTTATTACTCTGTTGGTTATTGTGTTTCAATGCTTCGGCATTGCTAGTGTCCACATTCCTACAGCAGGTGTGGTATCCACAGGGATCCACTCAACACCATGTAAGTCTACCAGTTTCATCTGCAAAGAAAGTACAAACCCTAACACTTGATTTAATGTCAGTGCGTGTTAAGCCAGGCAGAAATTCTTTGAGTTCTCTGGGTTTGTTGGGGGTGTGCTAGGTGCACAAACGGCTTTGATTGGTATTTCAGCTTTTCTCTGCATTGCTCTGCTAGCTTCTGGAGCAAGCTTTGGACTACTTTCAAATTGGAATTCTGGTCTAAATAAATGGCTGCTTGGGAGGTTGAGTATTGTTGCTATTTATAAAATGTGTATTTCAAGTGTTAATTTATTCTCTCTAAGCCATTTTGGTCTTCAGTAAGTATTGAAATTCCCTACTTAAAGCCTTAGAGAGCACTGCTCCATGAATTACCTTTTCAGCTTTGCAGTGCTATAAAGTCAATGTGCTGGCTTACAGGACACACGAGGTGCTAGATTAAAGATGGCATGTACTTTTTCTAACTTCTCTCATCAAGACCTTTTGACAGTAATGTTAAATGAACGTCAAAAAACTGAAGGGGACCTTCTGAAAGGAATCACACAAATACTTTATTCTTGTGGCAAGCAGGTCGATGGTGGTGAGAGGTATCCTTTTAATGACAGTGGATGTCTTCTTGATGACAAAGAACTTTTTGATAATGGCTTAGAAGAGGAAGACGATTACCCCCCAGAGGATGAAGAGTCAATAGAATCAATACGAGCAGCAGTGAAAAACAAAATAAAAAAATATAAGGTAACATTTGATAGTGATACGAGATTATTGGTTATTAATGGGAGGTATTGTACATGAGCATGTATTAAAATTTTTGACAATGGTGCGTTTCTAGTGCTATGACAGCGGAGAGAATAGTCCTCTGCTTTTTGTTCTTAAAGATGGAGGGTTGTCGTCCCGCAAAGTTATATATAGTAGGAGCTTTGGAAATCTACCACAAGTATTATGCAGGATTATGTGTTGGTTTATGAGAATACTTGCTGGTTGTGCTGACCAGTGATGATTCTATACAATTATTTTTACTTTTGACTTATTTGCCCTTGGTAGGGCCTGTGTATCTAGACATAAATAAATAAATTAATATCTTCTTATGCACTGTAGAACAAAGAACGGTTTTCTGAGGGCGAAGGCTACAAACACGTATTTGATGATGAGAATGAGGAACCTGTATTAAAAGAACCAAAAAGGAAGGTGAAGTATTCTTCATCTTAAAGCTCTCCATTGTTTGTTGTAATGACTAATGGGTTTTGTATGCACACTGTCCAATGTTTTTGTCGATTTGCTATTTTTAATCTTTTTTTTTTTAACTGGCTGCTTTATTCTGACTCCTTTCTGTTTGAAAGGGAAAAATAAACTATTTAGAAAGTATAGATAGAGTGCCATATTTTGTTTTCTGCCTTCAGAAGCCTTTCTTTTCTTTCCTTAAGGAGCGGAAAGCAGCAAGGTTAAGTAAAGAAGCCATTAAACAACTACATAGTGAGACCCAACGACTTATTAGAGGTAAAACTTTGTGTGTAGAGGGATGTAAACTATTAGGAAATTCAGGGGAGAAGTTCAAAGAATTCACCTGAAAGGTTAGAGCCTTCTTTCACCTAGCATGAGTTATTTAGGGTTGAAGGGTGCAAGACCATTTTTATTCAAGGACCTGTTAAAAGGTATCTTTGTAACTAATAAAAAAAAAAAAATCATTGTGCAAACACTTGAGCCTGTAAACTTGTGTAAAGTTAGTGCAATGTTTAGAGAGTTTGGTAGGCATGTAATAAAATTGAAACTGGTCCTCACATTCTGATATTAACATCACGGTTAATTTCCTAATGAATCCATGGACATGTTGCAAATTTGGTCTTCCAGACTGTTGCTGTTGGAACTCTTTC